AGAGGGGGGTGGGGTGGGGATGGGGGACGTGATGGAATGAGGAGGGGGGATGTGGGGCTGGGGTGGCACGGGGACAGGGGACATGGGGATACGGTGGCACAGGGCTGGTGGACATGGGGCTGAGGTGGCTTGGGGACAGGGGACATGGGGACATGGTGGCAGTGGCTGGGGGACATGGGGCTGCAGTGGCACAGGGCTGAGGGACATGGTGGCATGAGGGTGGAGTTAATGGGAACATGATGGGACAGGGCTGGGGGACATGAGGACGTGATGGGTTGGGGCTGGGGGACATGGGGACAAGGTGGCATGCGGCTGGAGGACGTGATGACATGGGTTGGGGCACATAGAGGCATGGTGACATGTGGCTGGGGAACTTGGGGACATCAGGACATGGGGTACAAGAGCACAGAGGCCTGGGGGTGCAGGGGGGTGGTGAGATGGGGGATGTGACATCTCTGGGACTTGGGGGGGTATGTGATGGCACAAAGGAGGTGACAGAGCACGTCTGGCACCTCCACGGAGAGGTGGCCACAGTGAGGAGGGTGACAGGGCCTGTCCCCCAGTGGTGACCTCCTGGTGGTGTCCCCAGTTTTCAGCCCTGGCCCTGAAGTTGGGGCTCCTCTGCTGTGGGGGACAGCTGGTGGCCGCAGGGACCATCACCACTGGGGACCTTGTCACCTTCCTCATCTACCAGATGCAGTTCACTGAGGCTGTGGAGGTGAGCCTGAGTGGACACCATGTCCCCAACATTGTCCCTGCCATGTCCTCAAGCCTGCCTGCTGTGTCCCTACATGCTTGCCATTGTGCACCCATGCCAATCTCAGTGTGTCCCCATGGCCACCCATCTCCCACACCCTCCCTGCCATGTCCCTGCATCCCCCTGACATGTCCCCATGGCATCCTCACCATGTCCTTGTGGCCTCCATGTCCTCACACCCTCCTGGTCATGTCGCCATGCCCATTCCCCATCTCACATTCCTGTCCCCTGTGTCCCCAGGTCCTCCTCTCCATGTCCCCATGCCCTGCCATCTCCCCAGGGCCTCCCTTGTCATGTCCCCATCCCCTGCTGTGTCCCTGTATCCTCCCTGCCATGTTCCTATGCTGGTCTCAACATGTCCTGGTGTCCTCCATGTCCCCATATCTTCCCAGCCATGTCCCCATGCTTGTTCCCTGTGTCACCACCCCCTCCCAGCCACGTCCCTGCTGTGTCCCCAGGTCCTGCTCCGCTACTACCCCGACATGACCAAGGCTGTGGGCTCCTCAGAGAAGATCTTTGAGTTCTTGGACCAGGAGGAGGGGGCGACACCTGTGGGGACGCTGGCACCCGATGTCCTGCAGGGCCACCTCCAGCTTGAGGACGTCTGGTTCTCCTACTCTGAGCACCAAGAGCCTGTCCTGAAGGTGGGCATGGGGACAGGGTGGGGGACATGATGGGGGGACATGGTGGGGAGGGCATGGGGGCATAGGTACATGGTGGGGACATGGTAGAGAGGGTGTGAGGGCATAGACATGGTGGAGACAATGTGGGGACAAGGTGAGAAGACATGGGGACATAGTGGTGATGTGGTGGAGGGACACGTGAGGACATGTCAGGGAGGGCTCAGGGAGGGCTGTGAACCCTGAGGGAAGGTGATGAAACTGTCCCTTCTGTCCCCCCAGGGTGTATCCCTGAAGCTGTGCCCCGGGGAGGTGCTGGCAGTGGTGGCCCCCCCTGGGGCAGGGAAGAGCACCCTGGTGTCCCTGGTCCTTCACCTGCAGCGGCCGAGGGCTGGGCAGGTGCTGCTGGATGGTCACCCCCTCTCCACCTACCAGCACCCCTACCTGCGCCTCCAGGTGCCACCACCACCCCTGTCACCACTTGTCCCCAACAGGTCATCACTGCCACCCCTCTGTCACCAGCCATCCCAAATGGGGCCCCATTGCCACCTCCTGTGTCACCAGCTGTCCCCAGTGGGTCCCCACCATCACCCTTGTGTCACCAGTCATTCCCAACATGTCCCAAGTGTCACCCCCAATGGGTCCCCACTGCCACCTCCATGTCATCAGCCATCTCCACCACAGCCCCACCTCATGTGCCCAGACATCCCTGCTGTGTCCCCAGCCTTCCCTGCCACATCCCCACTAGTGTCACCTGCCACTCCCACCATATCCCCTCCATATCACTGCTGCATCCCTGCTACATCCTCAGCTGTCCCCGCCATGTCCTTGCTGTGTCCCTGCCCATGCCCACTATGTCCCTGCTACGTCTCCAGATTTCTGTGCCATGTCCTTGCCATGTCCCTGCCACATCCCCACCATGTCCCCAACATGTTCCCACCATGTCCCAAACCATCCTTCTTGCCATGTCCCTGCCACATCCCCCTGGCACCCCTGCAACATCCCCACCATGTCCCTGTCACATCCTCACTGTGTCCCCAGCCATCCCAGCCATGTCCCTACCATGTCCCTGCCACATCCCTGCCATGTCCCTTTCACATACCCATCATATCCCTGCAACGTCCCCTGCCACATCCTTGCCACATCCTCAGCCACATCCCTGCCATGTCCTCACCACATGCTCAGTGTCCCCAGCCACAACCAGCCACATCTCTGCCCC